TTCTAATCCAGTAATGCCGTGAGTTAATGATTTAAATGTTTAATCTAAATCTAAACTCATTTTAAATGCCCTCTCTGCAATTTATCATTACATTATTTGCTGTGATAGGTGTTAGACAGATGGTTAGATTTTATTACTCAACCATGACCCAGGTCATGTCTCTGGGACCCCTGATGCCTTCTCTTATTAGGGTCAAGCTGCCTTTTGACTTTTGCCCCTGCAGGGTTGATGTACAAGAGACTGCTGTAGACACTTATGTTCAGGGGTCAGTTCCGAGTCTGTGAGCCGGTGTGGCATCTCATTCCTAAAAAGACCAGCCAAAAACAGCTATGAGGCATTTTGTTGTGTCTAAATTCTACACGCTGTTCTCTGTTAGGAACCGGGAAACCAATCGTGAAATGCATGGATTAACCTATGAGTCCAAAGTTACGTGGTGGTCATAATCTGCACACTTTGTACTGTTAATGAGTGTGACAGATTTTTGCATGTTATTTGATATAATCACTTCTTTGTGTTTCTTGTGCTTCAGTGCTTTGAAAGCTTGATGGTTTCAAGCACTCTGGAAACAGGTTAAGAATGGATACTGCAAAGATCTGTTCACCAGTGAATGGTTGCATTGTTTTAATAGTAGTGTGTCTTGTGTGTGTCAAATACATTGGGATAAAAACCTTTCTAGTTTCTGTTTTTAGCAGTTCATACTTTATATCAAAAGATTTTCATTGAGAAAGTGTTCTGAAAGGAATGTGAATAAACAGATTATTTCAAGCCTTTGAATTAGAGGCAAAGTTTGAATTATTTTCATTTAGCAGTTCATTGCATTAACATCTTCCTTAGCCAGATTTTACACTCTTAAATTACTGTAAGATAGTTTAAGGTAATACCTGAGGAACTGCTCATCATTAATCCTGAACTGCTTAGTTAATTTGCTTTGTCTGTTTGACAAATTACCCTTTTTAAAGCCATATATCTTTGAACTAACACTAGTCTGTCGACTCTCTGTGCTTGCACTTTGCTGTCAAATTATTTCCTTTAGTTCTGTTGCCTATTTTAAGCTAAAGGTCTCAGTTGAATTGCAGGTGCAAGCTATTTTTACAACCTGTAAGTGGCACTGAAGAACTCTGTAAATCCCTTGAGTCATCCATGATGCCCAAAGAGAGACTGATAAATGATTACTTTGCAGACAGACTTTAAGCACAGAAAGAAAGCTTTTTATTTGACTCTTAATTTCATTATTTCATCACATGAAACATGCTAAAACAAACCGTGTTGTCATTGTGTGGTCATTTATCATTATGAGTCATCATTTATGAATTAAAAGAATAGTTCACCCAAAAATGAAAATTTGCTGAAATGTAATAAACCTCAGGCCATCCAAGATGTAGATGACTTTTTCCTCAATGAAACAGATTTGTAGAAATTTAGCACATGCTCACCAATGAATCCTCTGCAGTGAATGGGTGCCGTTAGAATGAGAGTCCAAAGAGCCGATAAAAACATAATTCACTGGAGAAAGTAAGGACTGCAATGGTTTAAAGTTAAAATGGATTTGATTCTTATTGACACAACTTTCACTTCACCGTAGTCCTGTGGATTACTTGTGGATTATTATGATGGTTTTATCAGCTGTTTGGACTCTCATTTTGATGGCACCCATTCACTGCAGAGGATCGATTGGTGAGCAAATGATGTAAACCTAAATTTCTACAAATGTGTTCCAATCAAATTCATTTACATGGATGTCCTGAAGGAACATTTTCTGCAAATGTTAATTTTGGATTAACTATTCCTTTTAAGTGTGTTGAAATCTATATTTGTCTGGTTTTGTTACTGATGTAAATATTGGCAACTTTCCTTACGGTACTGATAAAAAGCTTTGGATTTACAGTGCACAATTCCGCAAACTGTGTGTTTTTTAAAAAAAATTCTAGAATCGAAGAAATGCATTGTTCACGCAGGTCATATAATTACAGATTAAAATCTTAAAATACACATTACAAATGAAAATATATAACTAAAATATATTACAATTATTTTATATTATTACATTAATATGTTTTTATAGGACATGGTTGTTGACTGTTACATACAGTAATGTGGCATATCCTTCCCTCACATGAGAGCACCTACAAATAGGGGAACTTGACTTTAGGTGCTCTGACTGTAATGCTCATGTTTGTGTGTGGGGCTGTCATATGTATTTAGTACATGAACAGCTCACTTGAATGAACTTCAGTGGTCCTTGACAGTCCAGGAAATGACTGGATTTGAGTTTCTGCTTTGATCTGACAGTTTGTCTCCATCTAAGACTCTGCAATGGTCAGTGGGGCAAAGAAAGGTATTTGTTTTGTCTTTCCTGAGTCCCCAGTGTATAATTTACCCCTATATCTCTGATCCAAGATCAGCTGTGTTTAAGTGAAGTATTGAATGAAAGGACTGGGTGTAGATATGTTTACTGCATGACAGCTCTCCATATGTTGTGTTTACTTTGTAAATAGTTTTATTTAAGAAACCCATTTTTTTGCTGAAGCATGAGATTTTTTATAATTTAGTGAATATGTAAAATATGTAAACATTTCATCTTTAATGTCTCCATGGAGGGCCGTCTGAGGAGAAGACCTGTCACCAGTTTGTAGAACAGCAACATGAGATCTTAGCATTCGTAGGAAAGTTAACATACTTGCTTTATTTAAATATTGTTGAGTGGTTGAGAGGAAGGAAAAGATGGAAAAGCTTAACTTCCTCAGCAGGCTTATATGCGTTTGCTCACATTCCCCCAGGCATACACTGGATTTATAATGTTTGCCTTCCTTTGACAGATTTTAAAGCTTTACAGAACATGTTTAACACCCAGACCTCAGGACAGGCATGGATGGTTTTCATGGTTCATCAAGAGTACACAGAAGACCCTGTGCCTTGTTGATTAAGGTTCACAAAATAACCTGTGATCATCACCTTAAAGGGACAGTTCACCCAAAAATGAAAATTATGTCATTAATTACTCACCCTCATGTCGTTGCAAACCCGTAACATCTGTGTTCATCTTCGGAACACAAATTAAGATATTTTTGATGAAATCCGAGAGCTTTCTGACCCTGCATAGACAACAACACAACTGACACGTTCAAGGCCCAGAAAGGTAGTAAAGGCATCATTAAAATAGTCCATGTGACATTAGTGGTGCAACCGTAATGTTATGAAGCTATGAGAATACTTTTTGTGTGCAAAGAAAACAAAAATAATGATTCAACAATTTCTTCTCTTCCATGTCAGTCTTCGCCGAGTGTTCATGAGAGTAAAATTGCGAAATTTTCGCATGTTAAAAAAAAAATACGACCTCACGTTGTGCCAATCACGTTTACACACTGCCTCTGAAACTTTCGTCTGTCATAAAAAATTCGGACCAGGTTTGATTTTCTGCGTTTTCACATCTGTAGCAAGCATTTAGGTAAGGATGACGAATACAAAAAAATAAAAAATAAATAAACGCATACGAAAATTTCAGACTCATTGTGCAAGGACCTTAACACAAAGCATGTGTGTGGTGCTGCTGATGCAGGAGCCTGTTTAAATCACTTGCTGGTACTTTGTAATTGTAAAAATGGTTTCTAAGTAAATCCTTCAACAACTTTTTCAGTGTAGTTTTGCACTTCAGTTTAAAATGTATTTATTATATTCCGAGCTGCTAATACTGTTGTACAACATTTATATGCATTCAATTTACTCAAAGCAGAAATTGTAGTTTATGGTTAGAAAAATAAAACCCCAAGAAGAATGTTCCGAAATGTTAGGAATTGGTTCTCAAATGTAAGGTATATGTTTAGTTTACTGATTCTATACCTGCATAATAAATGCATAGTGATATTACATTTCATTGTCAGCAAGTATTGAGGTACTTTGAAAATTAAAATGAGCAGTTTCTGATAAACCTAAAACAACACTGCACAGAAAAAAAAAAAATTTTTAAGCACCATTAAAGCTAACTAAAATTAAAGTAATATTGAAAATGGAAAAAACATATAATAACCCTTCAAACCCATGACCTTGGTATTGCTGCCAGTTAAACTGCAGGATCACCAAAAGTTGTAAAACTAAACATCAAGTCAAGATGTTCTATCAGAATATGCAGTTTTACTTTCATTAAACTATTGAAACTGCCAGATTAGCCAATTCTTCATCAGATCAGTCGTCTGAGCTGTTTGTTTTCCCTCTCACATTGCTCTTTGGCTGCAGTCCCGTTGCCATTTACACTGATATGCTTTCAGTGCAGCACGATTGTGGCAGCTTCAGGATATGTGTGGTTTCTCCTTTTCTGATACTCCTATTAAAGATGAAGATTGACCACCACAAGGAGCTTATTCTATTGTTTCTGTTGGGTCATCATAATGTAGTTCAAACTGTGATCGGTGCTAAATATGGATGCATTGCCCTGGAGTACATTTTAGTGACCTCTTCTCCTTTTTCAGTGGGTACATAATGTGATAACAAACAGCTGATCTAATGACAAGGGAGTTATACTCTTATGTACCTGTACCAGTAAAATGGCATTAACGGTTTACAAACTTAATGAACTAAAATTCAATATACACATACACATCATAAATGTATGTTTTCTTTGTCCTGGTCAGAAATCCAATGTTGCTTTCACCATCAACAAGGCTGCATTTTTTGTGTAATAATATTTTGATTATAGGTATTGATTATTAGTTTTTATAATAATTATTAATTATTATTAGTTTTATTTACACAAATGTAGATTTGATAAAGGTGATCCAAGTTTTGTAAAAAAACAGTAGTGCATTAAAACTAATAGATTTTTATATATTTGTGATTTTTATATATTTGTGATATATAATAAAAATTGTATATATTATCCTATATTTGTGATACGATAATGCCTTTTTGTTACCTGAAAAGTTTAATAAAGGTTACCAAAAGGTTGTGTTTTTGTTGTATACTGTATATGTTGAAGTTAACTGAGGCCACCTAGTGGACCGCGACTGCTAACTAGTCAAGTCAACCTTAAATTAGGTTGACTAGTGACTATTTGGCGAGGTCAAACTGGCTGCTTTCCTTAATCTGTTAAGAAGACTGCTGTTTCATAAGCTGTTATGAACAGTTTTCATGTGACTGTATTTCTCATCCCATCTGGACTGCAAGGTGCCCCGAATTTATAAGGTCGACGCAAGTTCAACTCTATAACCACGTGGCCATATTTCACTTCAGGTTTAATATAGGCCTAAATAGGTAGGACCTTACAATTCATTCTTATGTGCTCGATTTTGTTTACTTGATACGCAGAGTTAGCAACACAAACAAATTAAGTAATGAGCATGCGTCGATTTTTAGTATATTTTCTGTCATGTTGTGATTAAGTTTCTGTCATTCATTTGGCCAGACTAATGTGACGAATCTTTCCGCGTGTTTCCTGATAAAGTCAACCTTTTGGAAAACAATACTTAATCAAATACAAGGTCATGAAAACTGGGCCACAGATCTGCGTTGTTTACCGTTGTAATACTTCAAATCGACCAATAGAGGGCAGGAGAGAGTCGCTGTCAAGACACATCAGCTTGAACATTAGAGAGCACAGGGACAAAGAGCTGTTGTTCAGTCAAGCAGATTGCTCCATAAATCAAGACTACTATGGTAACATGATAAGCAGACTACCGTCTTTGATGGTTTTTGCTTGTTTTTGTTTTTTAAATATCTCCCTAAACTAGACTTGTGTTTTCTGTAGGAAATACTGGTTCTAATTTACCCTATTTAAGCAGTTTAACCCAGACTAAGATGATTTGTTGGTCTAATCTGGTTTAAGATGGTCTCTCAGCCTTGCAAAGCTGGTCTTAGCTGGTTTAAGTTGTTCTTCCATCCTAGTTTAGTTGGTTAGCCAGCTGGTTTTTCAGCCTGACTAGCTGAAATTGCTTCTTTATCGAATCATTGCTAATTTTTGCTTGTTTTTCTTTTGAACATATTGCTGATTTGCTACATACTCTGTTAAATAGCTGAATATATTACTAAAATGCATTAATATAGGTTAAGTCTATTATAAATTCCACCCTAAACTAGACTTCTGTTTACTGTAGGAAATACCATTTCTAACTTAAATGTGTTTAACCCAGACTAAGATGGTTTGTTGATGGTCTAAGCTGGTTTAAGATGGGGTTTCAGCCTTGCCAAGCTGGTCTTAGCTGGTTTAAACCGTTCTCCCATCCTGACTTCAGCTAGTTTAGTTGGCAGCCATCTGGTCTCTCAGTTTGACAAGCTGAAATGTGCAAAAAATAACCTCTAAAAACCATCCAACAGTCCAGTCTGACCAACTGAAAAGTGACAAAACCCCTTCTAATACCAACAATAATGGCAATCTGGCCAGACTGGGAGACCAGATAAGACCAGCAAACCAGTCTTTGCTAGTTTAAGATGTTTTTGTTAAGCAAGGAAATGTTATAGTGTATATAGGCTTACTGCATGTGGGAGGTGTTCACATTTTAACCTTAAAAAAGCATAAAGTTATTAAATATAGGGTTTAAAAGAAACTTCAAAGAAATGTTTGAGGAATATATTTTGTACTGTAAGTCCAGTAATGACATCTATGCAGATTTAGCACAAGTGTAAGATGGTGTTTGAATAAAGTTGGCTATTCTGTGCAGGGTATCCGAGTTCCTGGCAGTGCCAGCTGGAAGAACCACAGGCCGATGCCAACATCCCCCCCTTTACCTGGCATTGTGCCCTCTGCGTGCCCGTGCCGTGCACCGAGTTGCTGAGACAACCAAAGCAGTGAAGTGGAGCAGTCCCAGCTGCAGCCCAGAGCACAGTGAGTAATGCTGTGCTTACAGTCAATCTTTATACACACACATATTTACTGACCTAAACTTGCACTCTTAGTCAACTCTTCCTCCATATCTCGCTGTATATCACTATTTCTTCATGCACACATGCAGTCTTTTTTTTACAGTCATGCTTTTCAGAAAAAGTGTGGTTTGACGCCATGATAACAATTGCGCTAATGAAGTCCTCCCATTGTCCTGCCCAGTTTACAGCATGTGAACCTCTGGGGTCAAGCACAGGGCAGCTGCTCACAACACAACTGATCTCAGCTTTGTGGGCAGATCCCAGTCTCCATTCCCGCTGCCTTTTGCCTGATTCCCTGAATTCTTGGCGCGGATGCGTATTTATGACAGAATAAGTCAGATTCTTTAAATTCCTGTGTTACTCTCCTTCTTCATTGCTGCCCTCCCACTCTTTCTCTAAAACTGTCATGTGGTCCGTAGTGTTTTTGTGACAAAAGTCAGTAGAAGTTCCAGCGTGAGTGTAAGTGGGTGTTTCTCCAACTAAAGGCACTTTTGTGTGCCGAAGGACATTATTCTTTTTGCTATGTCACACAATTTTTTTTACACAATGTTATCAGTTGATTTTAATAATTTTCAAAAGCCTTTTTTTATTTTGATTATAGTTTTATTTTGGACTTTTAATCTTTTTTTTTTTTTAAATTATTTTAATGAATTTACTTCAAGAAATTAATTAATTTTATTTTTAATTTGTATTAAGTTAGTAAAAATGAATAAATTCACATTCACATTTTTTCTATTTTATCTTTGTCCAAGACTTTTAATCTTAACCTATAAAAAATTATTATGTGTTTATTATTTGATTTTAATTAACTTACTTTAATATATGAATTAATTTTATTTTTAATTGATATTAAATTAATAAATATTAATAAATTCACATTGCAATGATTTGTTTTTTAATTTATATTTTCCCAAGACTTTTAATCTTAACCTATGGAAAATTGTTATTATTTGTTTATTATTTGATTTGAATGAATTTACTTTAATTAACTAATTTTATTTTGAACTGATATGAATGAATAAATTCACATGGCAGTGATTTGTTTTTTATTTTATCTTTGTCCAAGACTTTTAATCTTAACCTATGGAAAATTGTTATTATGTGTTTAGTATTTGAATTTATTGAATTTACTTTAATAAATAATAAATTTTATTTTTAACTGATATTAAATAAAAAAAAAAATAATAAATTCACATTTCAGTGATTTGTTTTATCCTTGTCCAAGACTTTTAAATCTTAACATATGGAAAAATGTTATTAAAAAGTATTTTTTAATTGATTTAATTTAATATATGAATTATTTACCTTTTAAACTATGGTAATAAAAAAAAATGTTTTTAAAATATTTTTCAAAGTAATAATATTTGTTTTTAAATTATGGTTACATATGATTTATTTTCTTAAATAATGTACAATATTTTAATAATAATGTAAGATTAATCTTATAAAATAAATGTATATGTATGTGTGTGTGTGTGTGTGTAATATATAATGTAATATAAGTGTGTGTCTGTGTAATATTATTTTAATTGTGCATATCAAATTATGCAACAAAAATGCTTGAATTTCACTGTGACATGTATATCCACTTGTAAGGTGACTATTTAAAAAATGAGATGAAAATGAGAAAAATGAAAAGCGTTTTAAGGGAGGATAATTTCTTCCTCTCCAATGTCCTCAGGACCAAAAGTGCCCATATAAGAAACACCCAAGTCTCCTCATATGACACCCTCAGAAGGTCAGCTGGCAAGTCTGATATGATCAGCAGCATCGTGACTGAGTGTGCGGGGAGCAGGGCTTGACTCAGATCTGACTCACCGCTCCTGTGGGTTCTTTTCTCCACTGATCTCGCAGCTTTTGCCCTCAGCTGCGACGGGGACGGACTCGCACAAGTTCTGGCACAGAACAAGCTGAGCGCCTGATGAAAATAAATAACTGGGATCAGCGTGGGGACATTATGCCGTGTTGTTTGGCCCCTGCGATAGTCAGATATTCAGAGAAAACGCAGAGCTTGATGATGACAGCTGTGAATTTCTCCCAGTGGTGCAAACAGAGTGACTGAGTACATGCTGTGTGCTTCTATTCTGGTGATGGTGATAATGATGAAGATGATTAAGATAATGACAAGGGCTGCAATCATCGTTATATTTGAGTGAGGTCAGCGGTGTGGGCTTAGAGCTATGATGAAGCAATATGATATTTCTTTTCACATTCAGGTGGTGCAGATCATATGGGTGATGATGCCCGTAACTACAATAGATATGACTTCAGCATTACATCATTAAATGATGCGTTCATGTGACAAGAATATTCCTCAGAGGAGACATAACGCTGATTCAGTGCGATGATGATAATAAGTGTAGCGTGAGGCTGAGATCACTTGTTGAACAATGTGAACTGATGCTGAAGAACGCACGTAACACCAGGCATTCATTATTAAACCCACACACATAGTTATGAACCTCTCAGCCTACAGTAAATAAGCATTCATTTAATAGTTCTACAATATATGTTATTTTATCTATTATTGCAGTTGCTTTATTTATTGATATAAATTGTAAGATATATGATCAATTCTCAAGGCAGATTTGAGTCAATATGGGTTTTTCGGTGCTTAATATTAATTATATACTATTGCAGTTTTTATTGACATTTAGAATTAGCTTTTATTTTTATATTTTCAAAATATGAAACCATGATCCATTCCACACTCACAAAAATAGCCTTCTTTTAACGTTTTATACAATTCTTTTTTTTAGATTTTATTTATATTTTTGTGAGTGCGGATCATGGTTTCATATACTAATATGTAAATATTTAAGTAATTAAATAGTCTGATGCATCAAAAAAAAGTAAAATAAAATATAATAAAATAAAATATAATAAAATATGTTAAATATGAAAGTAATAAGTTTATTTATTTATTTATTTCCAGTTTGTACTTTTTATTTAAACTTAAACTTAAAAATTGACAATTAATTGAAGTTAACATTTTCGTCTAATATTTATATTTATATTTTATTATATTTCAGCTTTAATTCAGTAAACAAAATGTTTTTAATAGCTTTAGTTAATAACCCTGTTTAGTGAGCAGGGTGGCCAATAGATGATATAAACATAATATGCTAATTAAATGTTCTCAACTTGCTGAATTTATCATATTTAATATAATATATAATATTTAATTTTAATATTTTTTTTTTACATACTTTTTATATTTATGTATTCACAAAAATATTTTTTTTCTTTCCAAAAGCAAAATGTGCAACAAGCTGGCATGTAAAAAATATCTAAATATTGTCAGGTTAATAGTCTTACTGGTCATACAGTTTTTAAAGAAGGAAGATCTTGCAGGAAAAACTTTTTCTGTTCCCCACATTTTATATAATATATGCTGTTTTATAGTAATGACTGTGTAGGACAGACTGTACATAAGCTTTATAATTGAATGCAGTGACAATCCTGAAAGGAGACAGGTAGAACAATGTGTCTCTCAGCTGTTAGTACGCAGGTGTGCTGCTCTAGTAAATGTGCTGAAGTCCAGCTGACTGGGAGGGTTGCTGCGCACACACACATGCCCCCCTCTGCGTATGGGAACCAATGCACTCTGGCTGAGACTCTGAGAGAGTGTGTCTGGGCCAGGCCTGCGAGCTTGTGTGCATTAGCGTGCGTGAGAATGCACGTTTCACACGTGTGCCGGCCATGGTCCGGGCCGCGGCTGTAAGCTGCTTTGAAAAGGCTCAGTAGAGTGACCGTTTCCTAGACACACACTGGGATTGTTGTGGAAGATGCGAGCTGTTTGCACATTGTGCTGCATGACTGTCAAATGCTCAGCCTGAACACAGTGTGTCTGTCTGAATTAGGGCTGTGCAATATATACACTCCCAAAAATACACCAACACATAGACTTTCCAACTCGGGGAAACAACATTCTAGACTTTGTTTACACCACCCAGAGAGGAGCTTACAAGGCCCTCCCCCTCCCCCACCTCGGTGCCTCAGACCACATCACTGTCATGCTAATGCCTGCATACAGACCACTCGTTAAAGTCACCAAACCAGTTCACAAACTGATACAAGTGTGGCCGGAAGGGTCGTCAGAGGCTCTTCAAGACTGTTTTAACACCACTGACTGGAATATGTTTAAGCAGGCTGCAACATACAATAACACCACAGACCTCCAGGAGTACTCAGAGACTGTCACTGCCTACATCACCAAGTGCATTGATGATGTAACAGTCACAAAGACCATCACTGTCCGGGCCAACCAGAAGCCGTGGCTAACAGGGGAGGTCTACGGACTCCTGAAGATGCGGAACGCTGCCTTCAGAGCTGGAGATGAGGTGGGCCTGAAGACAGCTAGGGCCAACCTTTCCCGCGGCATCAGAGAGGCAAAAAGACAGTACTCCAGGAGGATAGCCCATCATTTCAGCGACAGCAGAGACACTCGGAGCCTGTGGCAGGGGATACAGACCATTACGGACTACAAGCCCCCACCACGCACCTGTGACAGCACCATCTCCCTGCTGAAAGAGCTGAACGTCTTCTTCGCTCGCTTTGAGGCACAAAACAGCACCACTGCACAGAAGACTCCACCTCCTCCCGGCGACCAGGTGACTACGCTGTCCCCGGACAGCGTGAGGAGATCCCTCAACAGGATCAATGCACGCAAAGCTCCGGGTCCTGACAACATTCCTGGGCATGTACTGAGAGACTGTGCAGTGGAACTCACCGATGTCTTCACAGACATTTTCAACATC